AATTTCAAATGCATAAATGTTTATCCAAGTTTGAATTTAGAAATAAATCAGACATATCAGTTTTTCCTTACAAAAACATTTTGTGTAGTAGAGGAAGTTATTTACAATGTCATCAAGTTAACAAGTTATAAATTCTTTGGAATAGTATTTATCTTACACAGAGCAACCTATGTTCACAGAAATGCACATATATGTAGTATGTGTGCATGTCTGTGTCCATATGTGTTGGGTGTCTGCATGTCTGTGTGTCTGTGTGTGTGTGTGATGTATATGCATCTGCTTTCAAAACCCTAGAAAGCACACTCTATTGTGGAGTAGCACTAGTTATAGCGAATATCCCCTTCACTATCTCAGAAGTTTGTCTTAAACGTATGCAAATAAAAAGTACTACAGAAGTATGGAACTCTGGGCTGAATACAGGTGTGAATTTGTCCAGATTCCAATCCTAATCCTGTTGTTTCCATGTGATCTTAGACAGGACCAGAGGGGCACCAATTATCTATCTAGTGAAAGATCTGATTCCAGCTCAATTTATAAAATTTTATTGTTTTCTGTCAAAGATTTTTGTGTAAATTTTTTATTGAATGAAGTTAATTTAGTATCTTTCAATAAATATTTATACAATAAAAGTGACTACAGAATGAAAATAGATGTGACAATTTTATCCCTGAATATTCAGGTAAGCAAAATGAAAGCTAAACATGATGAAAAACTACTGTTAGAGTTTGGGTCTTCTATGCTCCACAAAGGCTCAAGGGTTGAAAGCTTGGTCCTCATCTGATGGTGCCATTGGGAGGTCATGCAAACTCTAGCAGCGGCGCTTACTTGGAGGATGTAGTGCTCTCTTGGAGGAACTAGCTATATGAGGGAATACCTCTCCCCTTACTCATTGCCTACTGTAACAGGGGCTGCTTTACTCTTCTGCCCATTCCTCACTATGATCTCCTGCCTCACTCAACTCCTAGAAACTGTGGGGCAAAAGACCATGGAGTGAGCCAAAATAAATCTCTCTTCCTGTAAGTTGTTTTCCTCAAGCATTTTGTCACAGCAAGGAAAAGCTGACTAACAAACCAGTACTCACAAATAAAAAAGAATAGACCACTGATACAGAAATAAAATGACTGAATCTCAGAGACATTAGTCTAAGTGAAAGACCCTTCTTTGCAAGTAAAATATACAGTGTTAGATTTTCTTTATAATGAAATTCAAATTAGGCAAAGCTCATCTATGATAGAGAAACCAGAACAGTGTTTTCCTCTGCAGATGTGGAATGAAATGTCAACTGAGAGAGTTCTAGAGAGACTGGGAGTGAAGATGATGTTCTATACCCTGGAAACAGCTTGAGTAGCTTGGGTGTGTGGGTTTGCCAGACTTGGCGAACATATCCTTAAGATTTGTGAATTGGCTGCATATAAATATCACCTCAGAAGCAAAAGCACAAGCACCCACTGAAATCTAGTTAATGATGCATGCACACAATGCAATATTTATGGAAAAGTGAATCAATATTTTGCAAGAATAGATTTGAAATGCTTCAGATATGAGGCAGTGGATATGTAATAAACAAGCAAGGAGAAAATACTAGCCATATGATGTAGGTGGTGAGTGGATGTGTGACAACTACATTTTTTCAGTTTATTTACAGTTTTTTAAAATTACATCAGTGCTTGCTTAGACAGCACATATACTAAAATTGGAACAATCCAGAGAAGATTAGCATGGCTGCTGCACAAGGATGACACACAAATTTGTGAAGCATTCCATATTTTTCTGAAAATGTCATATCATAGCAATATATGTGCACCCATGTTCATAGCAGCTCAATTTGTAACTGCTAAACTGTGGAAGCAACCCAAATGTCCATCCACTGAGGACTGGATAAAAAAAAATTGTGTACTTTTATATAATGGAATATTACTGAGCCATAAAGAAAGATAAACTCGAGGTTTTTATAGGTAAATGGTCACAACTAGAGACCATACTAATAAGTGAAATAAACCAGACCTGCATGTGTAAGCACAGTATTGTCTCACTAGTGTAAGACCTGAATGAGTGAATAAAAACTAGGAGGTATGATAGACATTGTGAAACGAAAGGAAAATGCTCAAAAGTAAAGGGCAACTGGGGTGTGGGAAAAGAGAAGGGAAAGAAGGCGAAATTATGTAAGTATGTATATACAGCGTAGCTAACATAGTTGTACTACTGTCTTCTATTGCTCTACAGAAAGGAACAGTTAATGATTACTTGTTTGATCAATCTTGTATGTCTTTATTTATTTTCCTGGGAAACCACTTGGAAGATATCAATAACTAATACAACAACCATTGTCAATTTCCTACAACTTTGTCTGTAACTCTGTTTTGTTTGTATTGTTCTGATGCTATTTTGTAAATAGATGTCTGTTAAAATGTTTTCCTTTTTTTATTTTTTTAAAATAAATTTTAAAAATGAAAAAAATAAAATTACATCAAATTATTTCAATTAACATAGCGAAGTTATGGAAAACCACCTCTAATGTGGTATGTGGAATCATAAGCATGAGTCAGTTTTATTTAAAATGTATGAACAGTGTTACAGTCATCCCTATGGAACTTTTAGATCTCCTATTACACTTAGCAAAAGTAATATTTACATGGAAGGAATCATGTGTTTTATAGATACTTCAGAGAAAAACAGTTTATTCATGTTTTCAAATTAATTTTTTATTAACACAATAATAAAATTCATTGATAGAGGACTTTTGAATTATTTGGGCCAGATACTGACTAACTATAAATCCAAATTTCTTTTACTTTCTATATCCTGTGGGCATTAAATCATTAACTCAGGTTTTATATAACCAGAGCCTCAGCATAAATATAGATGGCCCAGACCTTGCAGAGTGAGGAAGAGACTGTGCCCTAGGACACTCCTCTGATATTCAACCTTTCAGTTCTGCCCTCTAAGATTTTAAATCATTTTAGTGCATTAGTTAAAATTAGATTTTCTTCCTCTGAAGGACATCTTCAGTTTTCTAAAACTTGGCCCATCCTCCACATCATGTGTGGATGCATAGGCCTTCCACGGGGAAGGGTGGACAGGCTGGAGGGTCTCCTCCTCCCTCCATCATGGCAGGGGGTGCTGGGAGGGGTAGACTTAGGTATATCTGGCAGTTTGGTAAAAGCTGATTTCCTTGGGGTTCAAATGTAGAAAGGAGCAAGCTCTGCATGTCTTTCACTCAGAATATTTTAAAATACCACCATCAGCAGCCCTCATTTCTCCATAATTGTAGAAATGATACTGTGTTTGATGAGGCATGGGACAAGATGAAGCTCTGGTGGATAAGGATGCATGGCTTTCACTGCTGACAAAACACCAGTGTCAGAGTTTAATGCTGTGTGTGGTGACTGTATTGAATGGATGTGTCCGCATTTCAGCATGCGCTCCCTCTCCCTTCTGCTTCTTTTTTTCTTCATTTTTCACTAAATCATTAAGGAAACCGATACTTCCTTGTCCACAGTAGTGTACCTTCTCAGCAGATTCAATACTTCCTTCCTTTCCCTCCTATCTCTCAAACTCAACTTAACTGCACTTAGCAGATTAAGTTAAAAATAGTTGAAAAGAAAACAACTCACAGACAAACTTGACTTTGGACTTTTGGTTTTCATTCTTGAATATTTAGCCATTGTATCTAAGCTAAGTGCTTAATCATAACAAGTGCCTTTCTCTGGGGATTGTTCCCAAAGTTAGTGAAATAGGCGTTATTATTTTGTTAGTTACGCATTTATTACTTAGGGGATACATTTTATGCTCTATCTGCCTCTGGTTTCTTTTGCTCAGTTTCATGTTGGGAAGGCTCATTTTGGTTGTGGACCAATAATTTGTTCCATTTTATTGAGGAAACAGTTGAGTTTCACAAAACTAAACCCAACTGTATAGTTTAGTTTTTTATTTGTGAATATATCTCCAGGGAAATTACTATGGTACGTCTATGTGTGGTTTCTTTCTGTTTGTTCCGCTTGAGGTACATAGAACTATTTCAACCCAGTTTGATATTCTTTGTCACGCTGAAATTAGCAGCCATTATGCCTGCAATTATCGCTTTAATCTTGCTCTTTTCTTTCTTTTTGAGACCCCAAGGGATGCTTCTTGAACCTTTTGGCAATGCCCTAGAATGTGATGTTTTCACCTGCAGTTTCTCTCTTTTATATCTTTGTGCTTTGTTTGTGCTGATACTGTATTTGTAAAGAGATATAAACTCAGACAGAAGAGCAGTCTTTCCATGTAATCTAATTATGCTTTCAGAAGGCATTTTATTATTCCTACCTTACAAACACAGTATCTCGACCTGACGGTTTACACAACCCACTCAACATCAACGTTGTCTTATTTTCCTCTCCCATTCTTTCTTCTTCTTTAATCTCCTTTTTATTTGATTTTTAATTGACAAAAGCAAAAGGTCACCCTTTAAGTTGCCTGATTCAATGTTTTTAGTACAGTCATGAAGTTGCACAGCTATCTACTATTTAATTACAAAACAGGTTCATGTCCCTAAAAGGAAGCTCCAAAATCATTAGCAGTAGGAACTACCACCCACTGCCTATCACCTACCACCTACCACCATTCCATCTATCACCAGCACATGGCAGCCACTAACCTACTTTCTGTGTCTTATTAACTTGGTTTTTCTGAACATTTCATGTGAATGGAATCATAGAGTATGTGGCCTTTTGTGTCTGTCTTCTTTCATGGAGCACAATATTTTTAGATTCATCTATGTTATAATCTGTATTGTGTCACACTCCTTTGACTGCTAAATAGTATTCTACTGTAGAGATACAAGAGCTACCATTTACCCATACATTAATTGATGGACATTTGTCTGCCATGCTGTGGATGTAGCTTGTCTCCTGAGGGTTCATGTGTTGGGGGCTTTGTCACCATGGCAACATTCAGGTGATGGAACAATGAACATGTGAATTCTTGTAGGAGTTCCTTAGTTCACTGGGGGGAGCTGCTGTCTTACCTTGCTGGCAGTCTTCCTCTCTCACACACACACCATCCACCATTAGATTTTCATGACCATTAGACTCCCACCAGAGGCCACACAGATGGGGCCACCCTATCTTAGATGTTCAGCCTCCACAACTGTGAGCTAAATAGGTCTGAACTCACCTGTTTCAAATATTTCACTATAGTAATGAAAAGCAGACTAATACATTGTCTGTATGAAGAATGTTGCTATTGTACACTTCTGTAGACATTTTTGTGGAAGCATGCTTTAAGATACTTTCGGTATATTCCTAGGAATGAATTGCTGAATCATGTGGATGAACTGTGTTTAACTTTGTTTTCCACACTGACTGAGGTTTTTATATTTTCTCCAGATGCACACACACAGACGTCACACACAGTTGCCTACATTCTTACCAAGAATTCTTATTTGTTTTACTATATTGATAGTCACAGATGGATATGGCATTGGATTTTCATTTTGATTGGCATCTCCCTCTTGACTTGTGCTGTTGAGCATCTTTTCATTAGCTTTTGGCCATTTATATAACATCCTTAGAGAGACAGGTAAGCAAGTCCTTTGTCTGAAGGTATTTAGAATTTATTGCTTGCCTTTTTATTGTCAACTTTTAAGAGTTGTTTATCTATTGTGGACACCATACACTTATTAAATACACTATTTTCAAATATTTTCTCCCATTCTGTTGATTGTGGACTTTCTTGAACCTGTCCCTTGATTCACAGAACACTGTAACATTGTTATACTTAAGTTTCTTGTGTTTTGCGTGTCATAGCTAAGAAACTGCTCCCAAATGTAAGGTCTTATGTATTTACATTTGTATTTCTTCATAAAACGTTTATCATTTTGCTCTTGTCCTGAGATGTTAGATCCTGTTAAGCTAGGGATTTAAATTTATTTGTTTCTTATGGATATCTAGTTGCCCCAGCATGATTTGTTGAAAGGATGCTTTTTCTCCACTGAATGCCATTGGTACTCTTGTCAAAATACATATGGTCATATATATATGGGTTTCTATCTGGGCTCCCTAGTCAATTCTGTTGGTCTAGGTCTGTCTCTATGTCATTAGCACACTGTGTTGCTTAATGTAGGTATCCAGTGAGTTTTGAAATCAAGAAGTATGAGATACCCAACTTTGTTTGGCATTTTTAAGATTGTTTTGGCTCTATGGGTTTCCCTCCACTTCAGTGTGAATTATAGAATGAGCTTTTTTGGAGAAAAAAAGCACTACTGTTTGAATTTTGATACAGTTGAGCTGCTTTTTTATACTATTCAATTGCAATTGGAGAGTACATTTTTGCAAAATAATAATATTTAGTAACTTCAGTGCATCTTGTTTTATGCTCTAAGTGATCTATCTAGAGAATATGCGATGTGCATGCCCTTGAACGTGAGTCCTGCTGTTGCTGAGTGGGTGGTCTACAGATGTTTGCTAGGACAAAACATTCTTGTGTCACATCTTTTTCTCCTACCCAAGTGAAATTTCTTATTCTAGGGGCAAAAGAAGGAATGTCTAAGCAATTTTCTTAAAATTAGTTTGGCACAGGAAGTTAGACGGTAGGAGCCTTATCTATTGAAGCTAGAGGAGTTAAATGTGTTCCTTTAGCTCAAGAATGAAGTTTTGCTTTGGGATGTTCCTGAATTCTAGTCCCCATGCCTTCCACTTTGGTATTGATAAGATCCATAACTCTGACTCTCTTCAGCTGCTTTCATATCCCATTCTTAATGTCTCCACAATTTACTTTTGTTGCTAACCTCTGAAGAGTAATTCCGGCAATAGTGAACATTCTGTTGATTACAGTGACAATAATGAGGCAAGCTAAGAGTTTGGTCCATGAGATGGATGAGGATCAGAGGGCCTATTGTCATTCACTAAGACATTAACCTCATACACACCACAGTGTTCTCCCTACACAGGTACACTGAAGCAGGTGGAGCTCTGTAACATCAATTTGTCCTTCACCTTCAACTGAACATAATAGTTGGTGTCACCATGTGTGCCTCTAAGAAGATCTCTGTGGAGGGCTCTGTGTTGCTTGATCTGGATAAAAGCTCTGTCATAGCTCCATGGCTATACACCTGGGCACAGAGCTAGAAGAAGTTGCAAAAGTACTACTGCATCTCAGCAACTTGGGATGAGAAGTGCAAGGCACACCACCCATTGTGGGCATGGTGATGATTCACAGTGGCTCAGGGCTTTCTTGTCCAGGTGATGCATACCTACCAAGTTCAGCTCCCATCACCCTGTCTTCTGCCTGCATTGTTGAACTTTGCAAGTCCCTTGTGACCACAGTAGAATGGCTCTGGCTGCCACTGTCAAGATTGGATGCTTGCACAATAGGTTGTGCTTCCCCAGCTACTCTTATTCTCTTTCAGGTAAAATTTTACCAGGCACTGATGGTTTCTACAGTACCAGTCCCATAGTTTTTGGGAGACATCAAGAATATGACTGTTAAAGTTTATGAATATATGCATGCCTATGATCATAGCATGAATATAAAATATTAACAATTACTCGATAATGTCTGTCTCCCTTCAAAAGGCTACTTTCAAGTAAGAGACAAATGTATAACTGGTTTAAGCACTTACCTCGTCATTACTCCCAGGCAAACTTAGCCTACCTGATAAGGATGTGTTTTACATGAAGTGACCTCTTTATGCAGCACTTCGCACTTCCATGTTCATGATAACTAGTGCAGGCCTCTTGTATGCTGTTTGTATATTGATTATCGCATGGCTACTTGTACCTCATAAGACCTAAAGGCTTTCCTTGGTCTCATTTCCATTTCATTTTCTTTTTCTGGTATTCTTTGTCCTCAGGTCTAGTTAGCACTGTTGGATGGGTCTCTCTCTTCTGCAGTCTCACTAGCATTCCTTCACGCTCTTAACTTCATCGGCACCCTCCTCAGTAGATTCTGAGCTACATGAAATATTTCTAGGGTAGCAGCCCCACCTGGTTCTGCCTGGGGCATGTCCTCTCATGCTCCCATCTCATCCTGTGGTGCTATCCAGACCTGCCCAACCTCTTCTGCCTCTAGCAGACTCTAGTCTGCTTCTCTGTCTGGGAGAGTCTGAAGGTGTCTCATCTATAGGTGGCAACTGGTCAAGAAAACCTCTTTTGCTTTTCTTTGATATCTGTTTCTTTAAACTCACTTGGAGGTCACCTGCTTCCCTCTGTCAGGAAAATAACTGTGACAGCCTTGAAACCAACTAGCATTATCCTTCCTTATTAACAGGGACACGAGGCCAAGTCTCTTGCATATGGTGTGACATCAGACTCTGCTTCTGCCTGCCTTGCCCAGGTATGTACAGGCTGCTGGGCCAACCACCGGCAGTCCACACGTGAGTCCAGGGGCTGTTCAGGCTTCCTTGCCTTCATGGTAACAAGTGCTCCTGTTTGTGCATATGTGAGTGTGTGCACATGTGTGGATGTGTGTAGGGATGCATATGCATATGTGTGTGCATATGGCTTTATTAGAGTTAGAACTGCACCAAGGTAAGTGAAGTGCTCACTCCAAGTATAAAATTTAAATGGCATCACAAAACTCAGCCATCAAGGTGAATAATATTCTAGGCAATATTTTATGAAAATAAAAAGGGAAATTAATACCCAAAATTCCTATGAGTAAAATGACACAGCTCTATTTCTTTTTTTTTTTTTTTTTTTTGGTCTTTTTTTTGAGACAGGGTCTTGCTCTACAGTTCAGGCTGTCCTTAAGCTCACTTTGTAGCCCAGGCTGGCCTCGAACTTACAACAATCCTCCTGCCTCAGCCTCCTGAGTCCTGTGATTGCAGGTATGCACTACCATGCCTAGCTGACACAGCTCTAAAGAAAGAGTGAATCACACTCTGCCCATCTCACTGGCATCCCCTGTTCCTGGCTCTCAAGCTAGTAAATGTCACAAACAGACAGCTGACCTTAGGCCATGGCTCGTCATTTGATTTTTTAAAAATTGCATTAATGTATTTTGTATGTCACTTAATGCAGGTCTTTTGGTGCCCCCTTAACGCAGGTACTCGGTTCCCCACAGTTAGTGTGGATACGGTCTGCATTTACAGGGTCTGCATGGATAACAAGGCTTGCATCTGGTGATCTGCATTTGAGCCCCTTTGAGTGGTCTTTTCCTCAAAATTCTTGGCTCTGCTCTATCTTTCATTGGCCTTGGAAAATGGGGTGCCACCTACCTTGATGTGAGTAATTAGGGTTTGGTCTCAACCAGACCCAGGCCCACTAGAGGGTGCAATGAAACTGGTAGGATCTGAGAGGCACTTTTCAGGGACTGTCCTGGGGGCATCTCTGTGCAGAACTGAGCTCTGTGTGGTCAGAGCGGAGGCTGGGAGATGCCACCGTCTACAGCAGGAGGAACTGTGGTGTGTGGGGTGCGGCGCTGATGGTGCAGTTGAGTGGGGACAGAGAAGAATGAATACAGTGGGAGGCGGGGTGTATTATGGAGGTAGAGTCTACAGGAGTTGTATCTGGCTTTGATAAAGTGAAGCTAAGGGGGAGTGGTAGATTTTAACATTTTGACACTGATTACAGGTGTGGCCCCGACCTTCTCGCTTTCCTTTTTCACTCCTGTTCTCATTTCCCTGTCTTAGTTCCTTAAATCTTATTTGGAGATCAGAGCTACATTACTGTTTTGTGAGAGCTCAACTAGATAGGGTCTAGGTCAGGAACTACTTCAACACATATGGTTTGTCTCTAGGGTCCAAAGGGCACTAGTATGACTACTCCATGTTTTCTGCTCAGAGCTAATCCTGCTCAAGTCCTCATGGTGAGCGCAGAGGAGGAGCTGTTCCTCTGACAGAACCCTCAGAAGAATTCCGGTGCTTCCTAGGGCTAGCTGAGTGACTTGTACACACAGTGGTGATCCTGGAAACAACACTGTAAACTTAACACAATAAACTGTAAATGCATTGATAGGCTGAATAATTCAGACACTCAGAACTCAGCTTTGAGGACTTTGGAGCATGGCTGAAGGAATTTTAACTGGGTGGGGCTGGCCTTGTTGCATAGAGTATGCTGGTGTGGCGAGCACCCCTTGATGGCTGGGGGAATTGGTACTTGGTCTCTTGTCCATGGGTTGTGTAGATGAGTGTCACACTGAATGGGGAGTCTCCTACACTACACACTTGTTCTTTAAACGACAACATATATCCACAAAACTCAGGATGGATTGAACTTTGGTTTCCCGGGACATCACTTACATGGTCACAAACAAGAAGGAAAGAAGGAAGCAGCCCCCCGAGTCCAGCGCAATTTAACCAAAAAGAAGGATGGTTGTACCCTGTGATCTTTTGAAAAACTGGAAAATGCTGACAACTGTGTTTTCCCCTAGTATTTTCAACTACTGAGGCTTCTGGGGAGAAATATTCACCCTGATATTTGAATTGCTCTGGAGCCTCACAAAATTGAAAAAAAATTCTATTGAGTCAAGTAAATGTCTCTGACGATCCAGCCACACAGACATAGCAAACAAACGATTCTCCAGCTGGCGCTTGGCTGTCAGGGAGGAGCCAAGAAGGTAACAGATGGAGAAAGTTCCCCACAAGTGTGCCAGAAGCAGATCTACAGTGAGCGTTCTCACCACACCCCGGCCGACAGCATACACTTTACACCTCAGTCTTCCGGGAATTCCATGCAAAAGCAGGAGCTAACAGAGCTTGCTCCATAAATAGAAAACAGTTACCAAATTAGAAAGAACATCAGCGTAACAGTCTTTATCACCCATTATAGACACTGTAATTTCTCTCTCTCCTTCCTTCCTCTCCCCTCTTTCTTCCCTCTCTTCCTCATTTTTATGGTTTGTATATTCGTCCTTCCTTCCTTCTACTTTCTCCTTCTTTCCTTTCTTCTTCTTTCCACTTTCTTTCTTTCTTTCTCTCTCTCTCTCTCTTCCTTCCTTCCTCCCTCCCTATCTCCCTTTCACTCTTTCTCTTCCCTTTCTTCCCTTTCTCTTCCCTTCCTTCTTTCTCCTTCCTTCCTACTTTCCTCCCTCCCTCCTTCTTTCTTATTTCTTCAGTACATAGTGCAGAGATCAGTACATCTTTGAAAAGACAAAAAAGATGAAGGAAAGAGCTGTAAGCATCCTGCTATAGAGGCTGTGCTCCTGATGAATAATGCTGCTGTCATAACAGCAGGGATAATTTAATGCTGGCACTTAGCAACATGATAAATAGCTTGTCAGACACCGGCAGCAACAGAGTTGACTGAACTGTCCCTGACAAGTTCTGAAATACTAATCTTCTGGTAGATGGAGGCTATGCAAGGAGGGGAGGTACAGGAAGGCCACTTATGGGAGGGATCTAAATACACAGCGATGCAGCACAATTTTCAACACAAAGTTTTGTCCTTTTCCTTAAAAATCTGTCATCTGTAAAGTGGTGTCTCAAAGGTTACATGTGTTCCATTCTTGAGTATGTGATTGAAGTTTTTTAAGGGATCAGAGCAATGTTATCTTTTAGGGTATGCAGCTTGGTCTAGAGTTCCTTTTCTTCCTTCTTTCCCAAATTTGTTTGTACTCATTGCATTTTGATTTGAAAGTACTATGCTTGAGTTCTAAATACCTTGCAGTGGGGTTCAACTATTATACCACTTGCTTCCTAGTAAAAACTTTAGTCCTATAGAAGGATGCATAGTCATTATAAGTCTTATATACAAGAAAGTTAGCAAACATTTGTATAGCTTTATAGGTTAAATGAAGGATATGAATTTCTATCTTATATGTTTTAATCTGATATGATAAAGTAGTTTTATTTCCTAAACATTTAAATAGATTTTTCTTACAGGAAATGAAATTTTACCTATTAGACATAGTGTAGGGGCAAGTGGGAGTCAGGTGGATGGAAGGAGAAAGAGTTTAAAATAAAATTGTTTACAGTTTACTTTCTCCACAAAAAAGGCTTTGACATGAATACAGGAATACCTATGGTAAAAACTGAAATATAAAGTAAAACATACATTAAAAGGGGAGGAAACAAATGAACATATTTTACTGCATTTGTCCATTTATTATGCATGTCTTATATTTTTCTTCTCCCACAGATATTTGAGGCCATGAATATGAGTATAAAAATTAATATAAAGAAGTAGATTTGATGGAAGAAGCCTGGGAGGTGATTTGAGGGCTTTAGGAGGAGGGAAGTACATGGCCAAGCCTCGGGTGGTGTGGGTGGCACCTGAATTCCAGCCTGACCTCCCAAGAGCTCCAGCTGAAGCCCCTACACTCCAGCTCAGGGGATGCTTCTAAGACGGTTCTGCTGATCATTTATGTCTCCACCATGTTTAAATACCAGGAAAGAAGCTGTTTCAAATAAAGGTACATTTATGTGGGAGTCGTTTTAGATTGTTTCAAAAGCCTTTGTGCTTCAGACTAAGAGACAGCCTATTGCTGGCACTTAGGGCCTTGGGAGCAGAGAGGGAAGAAAGCAGGACACATCCTCTCTTGGCTGTTGAGTCTCTGCTTATCAGTACAGTAGCAATGCTTTTGGTACAGTCAAATGAATCCTGCCCTCCCACAGTAACTATCACTGTGGAGAAAAGAAGCAATGCACACCCACACTTCCAAATTGGATCTCTCAGATGTGAGCTGATATCCACCTCTCCTATTCCTGGAACATCATCCTATTTTAATTTCACAAATCTAGATGAGAGGAAAATAAAATTTTTGGATATTGGCTAATTATCTACTCTCAATAGAAGAATTTAATGTGCAATTCACCTCTTCCTATTTAGCGTTTTATTTGATTCTACTACCAATTACTGTTGCACGGAATCGATTCCCAAGGTACCAGTTTCTCAGAATGACTGACAGGGGGTGCTGCTTCTATAAGTACCAATTGACCTAGGTGGATACATTAGCATACATAGAAGGGTTTAGGAGAACTTTCAGTGGCGGCTGGTGCTGCCGTGGGAAGTGGGGACAGAGCAGTGAGGACTCTTCAAGAGCTTTTGTGCTTGTCCAGCCTGCAGTGCCCAGGTAGAGACCTGGCAACAGCACTCCTGCACCTGAGGCTGTGCTTGCAAAGGCACCAGACTCCAGGAGTCATTCTCCAGTCTCTGAATCTCTGTTTTCTGCCAATCAACACACCAGAGGAGATAGCACTGACTTGCAACCAGTGGAAATGCCTCTGCCCCTCAAGATACTAATGGGGAGTTGAGGGGCCACTTGGTAGAGTTCTGGCAGAATGAGTCCTGAATCTTTGTATGAACACAGAATTCATTCAGCAATGAGCTTATATGTGTCAGAAAAAATATTTATGAACAGTCATACAATGCTTCCTAGATATGTTAGGGGATGTTACAGATGGCAGGTTTGAATTTTATTTTCAATACTTAATGGGCCCCTCAAGTTACAAAAATAAGCAGATCTGCAATCTTTAGTTTACACATGTCACAGGAGACTTTGTCAGTGTCTTTGAAAAGATCATGCAATTACTTGTGTTTTAGATTTACCTCTTTCTTCTAGAGAGAAGGAATATATTTGAGAAAACTTCTCTAGCAACATTATATCGCACTGCACAGGGATATGTTATGTGTGAATCAGGAAAAAGAACCATGGCTTACTTTTGCTTGGGGCACCAGCAATCACTCAAAATGTATGTTTGGAAGACTTTGTAGGAGGCACCCAGCAAGACCAGGCTCAGAAGAATTATGCTGGTTGGTTCTGACCTAAATATATCCTGACTCTTCTATACCTTTTATAGATATGGACGTCATTTAAAGCCAGACGCTGATAAAGTGAATGAAAAATGAGACTGTGGTAGCGACTTGTCGAATGATTTCATTGCAAGAGAAGATTAGGATGCCTGGCAAGGAAGTTGGGTCCCAAATCACCAATTCTGATGATATTAATTGTCCCCGATCTAGGAAGCTGGCGCAAATAATTCTGTCAAAAGATTTACTGTGCAACATTTGATGCTATTTACTGATAAATGATGGGGCACTTCATTAGCTAATGTTGAAAAATCACGGTAGACATAACAGAATTATTAGGGCTTGTATAGAAATCCTATTCCATAATGAGTTATTACTTTAAAATAATAGCAGCAATATGTTACAATTAAGCACTCTGAAAAGGAGCTTTCCACAAGAAAGGTGTCAGCGTTTGAGTGATCCCCTGAACTGCTGCTCCTTACAAATGAATTCTACTGGCTCCCATCCATCAAAACTCCACTTGCATTAACTAATTAAAGAACCCAATGAAGTCGCAGAGCCTGCATCACACTACGTTACGGTGAGTTATAGACCAGAGCAGTGTGGCCAGCGAGGGTTTTCTCAGGTTTTCTTTAGTTTGTTTTTTGCACCTATGGTAATGCCAGTGACTACTCAGCTCCACAGGTTTCATTTACTGTGATGCTGGCAGATGTCATTAGGTAAGTTGCTGGGTAATGCCTTGGAAACACAGGTCCTCCTGGCCTCCTATTCAGGGTCCCCTTCCTAAACAGCTGGATTAAAGAGACTGCACATAGGAATACTTGTGTAAGACCTTGATTTCTGTGCAGTAATGGACTCTATTTTGGTTTTGGTTTTGCTCTGGGTCATTCCTCTGAACAAAATAAGGGTGGTGGACACTTATAATCCCAGTGCTCTGAGAGGCTGAGGCAGGAGGATTGTAAAGTTCAAGCCCAACTTGGACAATTTAGTGACTCAACCAGATCCTGTCTCAAAATAAAAAATAAAAAACGGCTGGAATTCAGTTCAATGTGAAAACCTGGCTTTAATCTCCCATACTGCAAAATACAGTAAATAAAGTAGAAATTTGGAAAAAAAATGCATAAGGAGTTTCAAAATCACTTTTTTTCTGAGAAAGGGATTTCTATCCTCCAGTGTATAAAGAGGATCAACATTTTCTACATGGAATTATTTTAGCCTAGGCACTTGACCCTTTATTTCCAAGTGGAGCTCAAAGAAATGCACTCAAGACCTACAGCCTACCTGCTATCAGCTGGGAAGCTGAGGTAGCAGGGCTTGAACCCAGACATGACCCTGAGGCCTGCTCAGTTTTCTGTACTTGGCTTTTACTTTCCCAGGGCAGCACTGTTCACTACATAAGATCTTGTGCTTTTATTGTTAGGGAGTTGAATTTTGAAATCCAAGCAACAAGAGCAGTATTTACTCAGGAAATAGCAATGCTTTCTCTTGTCCGAACATAACAGTGGCCAGCGTGGACTTTTCTGTTCTGTCAAAGACCCCAGGGAAATAACAAAGATGGCTTTTAGAAAGGATATATTTTCAGTTGGTTCACAGAAGTGATTTGACAAGGACAGCATGTTTGTCCCTGGTTAGCAAGATTACAGCCTGCATGTAGACGTCTAAATTGATTTCATTCCTAGCACCTTTATCTTAGAATGTTTAGGAACAGGAAAATTTTTATGATTTATTACTGATGGCCATAAATCTCCTGATGGCAAAGGGTAGCTGCGGCACACGCTTGTTATCCTCATCTTCTGGGTTGCTTTTGATACACTTAAAATTGTTTGTACTTTTGAAACAGTGGAAATTAATTATTGACACTTGTTAATTCATGCCTGAAATTAAGCACAAGGGATTTGATTATTTATTTTGACAGTGAATCTGTGTAACAAAAGGAGGTAGGTCCATCTTCTTTCTGCCTTATAGAAAGGGGTCACTTAAGAAATAAAAATCATCAGACCAGTCGAAAGACAGCAGAATGTAAAGATTTCTAAAATAGTAATGTCATGTTGAAACGCACTCTGGAGTTAGTACACACGACTCTACTAACAGATAGTCTACTAACTGCCCAAATTAAACTTAGAAAATGTAAATTGCTATTTTCTTCTTTAATGTGGGCCTAGCAAATAACATGAGGCAATCTATTGAGGCAGATCCCACCTGCCTATTTGTAGACTAAAAGAACTTTGTTCGTGTCTTTGAGTGAGTGTTCTCTATGCACTATGTCAAAGAGACAGTTGAATTTTGGCTGACTTAGGAAAATAATTTAAAACACTCATTACTTTCCTAGTATCCTTCTTCAAAACTGTAATTACTGAATTGTATTTAACTTTTGCCTAAAGATGTTTTAAGGAAGTTGCATGTTCCTCAATCTGCTTAGCTTTCAGCCTTCTCTGGGGCAGAATCACCTTTTGGTCCACAGGAAGGATGGCGGTGGTGTCTGAGGGCAAAGTCAGCATCACTGCCCAGTGACACTCATGCCAATGGTCAGAACTGCAGGGAGAGCTGGGTTTTTCCCAGCAAAGTGTCTTCTACCCCTCCCCAAGGAGGGGTCACCTAGGGATGTCACAGAGGGATTTTCCTCCCAGAAGGTGCCCTGCTCTTGCCAAAAAATTCTACCTGAAAAAGGGTCCAACTGTAGAAAAGCTCTGCTTTATGTTATTTCCCCATTTGTTTGAAAAAGAACAGTGAATTTAATGATCAATTAATTATATCAAAGTGAGTGATTTTGCAGTTTAATTATGAGGAAAATTCATGAACTTCAGAGGAGTATAAATGATCTGAGGAATCAGCTTTCCCTTTCTGGGGCAAAGGTGGCATTTAGCAAGGAATGAGAGAAAAGCTAAGTTGAGAAAGGGATACATGGAGGGAAAGACAATGGGGTGGTTTGTGCTTGTCTGCTTTGTTTAAGGGCCTCTTGGTTTGGACAGGTGGAGGCACTGAGGCTTTCAGAGAGCAGGTGTAGACAGGCTTAAAATCTTACCTTGCACCCTATCAAATTTGCGCATAGTACATCATCAAATCAAATCCCATCTCTGCAGTGTTTCTAGATGTTCATTTATGCCTCGTCTACAAGGTGCAATGTGAAAGGAGATTATATTTCAGACATCACAAGGAGTTGTATAATCAATGCTCATTCTGTTCCAAAGCCTTTCCTGGAACCCAGTGGGCTGCTGACATTGTCATTCTCTAGCCAGGCGGTAGCTTGGGTCCTGCTTTGGTGGGGAACTTGGACTTACGCTGCAGGAAGACCATCACCAGGTCTCCCTCTGAATCCCTTGGTGTCTGTTGACATGGCAACCCCAGGCTGACTTTGAAATAGCTTGATGCTGGGGGTGTGCTGACTTGATGCATTGTGCTTATTGATAGCTGGTCTAAGTACTGTGCTTAACTAGACAGATAACACCGACTGGGTCCCTTTTAAGCAGCATCTGGTTAATATAATATGGTCCCATAATTCATTTTTAACTTCCCCTAATTGCTCCAGTCATTTCACCATTTCAAATATTAGGTATCTGAGGAAAGGCACAGCGATTCTTCTGCTTAGCCTATGCACCCCAGCCTGGGTGGAGGCGGTGCTAATCTAATTAGAAAGGTAGCCGAGCTGAACGGAGGCATTTTCTCATACTTAGCA